GAATCTAAACTTGCCTAAAAAATACTGTCAATGGGACACCGAATTTTATACTCTGAGTTGGACGCAATAATACTCAAATAAACCCAAATCTGGTTTTTAAATTAATAATTCAAATACCCTCCTTGACTTTATTTCCTTTTAGTGCAAATTTACTAATTAATTTAATAATTTTTAAGTATTTCAAAGTTAAGGTAGATAACATTCGGTTTCCTAATAGTAATACAGCAAGCCCTTATTATATTAATTAAAAAGTCGCATATGGGACGTTTTCCGAGCACATTAAGTTACCCAGGAATCTTAGATAAGACACCCTGTATTTTATAGTGGTGGGATAAAGCCAAAGCCAAAGTCTAACCAATCCTCTGCCGAAAGGTACCTGTTTTTCAACCCTGCTTTGAACCAATTCCAATTTATAGCCAAAAATCTACACTTTCATACAATAATCAATTTGCCTAGTTACACGTTAGTAGATTTATTAAGCGACTAGTCTCTATATCCACCTAAGTGAAATTGTGTTGAATTGTTATTTTTATATATTCTTTTGAAACTGTATATATTTTCATATTATACATGTTCTAATTTTCATATTACTAGATGAGCGTAATAAGTCCCATGGCTAATAGGATAGGGAAAAAAAAATTTGCAAATTGTAACAACGAATAATAACTATGGAACAGTTTCAATTAAATGTGCCCTTGATGTTTCAGTTTTTTGAGTCAGTTTTCGTTAGATTTCATAATAGAGAGATGTGGAATAATTATTTTTGTGATAATAGTTTGATTAAGATACAAATTTTCAAAAAGAGATTTTCAGTAAAATTGAAAATTGAGTGTTAATCATTTTCGCTTCATGCTTCATGTAAAGCCATCATATTATATATCTATTACATTTTAAACATAAACTTTTGCCACAGTTTCTAAATGATATAGAAAACAAGAGGGTAAGACACTGAAATTACGGGCTGGGACTATTTCGTTGAATTGACAAATTAATAAAGAACGTGAAAACAATTAAGGTATAATATAATAAAGCAATTTTATCCAAACTATATTTCCTTAGTAGTTAAGGCTTTTTCATTGGCATATTTTATGAGGCCATCCTTCTGTTGGTGGCTCCAAACACATTTCTTACGCCGATAGGAACTAAAAGTGGAAGATTGATACAAAAACGTTATCACATCATATCGGATTTAACAGAAAATTTATTTTACGAAGATTGCATGTGACGCACTGTGTACATTTTACAGGATGTAAGAAAGAAACCTTTATGACAGATAATTGATTGTTTGCCAATTTGACTCCGAAACATTAAGTAAGTTCAAACAATAAAACGCTTTTAGCAAATATTTATTTAAAATTATATTTTTAGATTCTTTAAATGTTTTTATCAATTTTCTGCTATGTACGTTAATATAACTATTCCCTCAAATAATATGTAGCAAACAAAGCATTATTTTAGATAAAAACCAAAGTTTGACGTTCTTTTGAACTGCAGATAAAGCTCTTCAATCTGCTGATCTTAATATATTAGGTTGCAGGATTTTTCTCAAAACTGTGTAATTTATTTGAAGCTAAAATAATTACTTTATAAATAAAAACTCAAATTAAGAAATGAATGCTACTGAATTCGCAACTAACAGAGCTGTTCCCTGATGGACTCTCACTGCACTTAATCCCATTAATATACTAGTTTAAAAATAATGTTACGAGTTCCTAAAACAAACAACATGCGTCAGCCATATTTTATGAATGTTGTGCATGCATCCTATAAAAGAGGGGTCATCAACTTAAATCTAGCATCATCTTTTTGTTTGATGATAGGTGATTATGGTTGATACATTTTAAATCTCATCAAGTGGCACTGAAACGTTTTTCTGAATTCCACTGCACAGTTTTTTACTTAATCATATATATGTTTTGTTAACAAAGATCAACATAGCGATTAAAAATATCAAATATTCCTATCCTTCTCTATCTCTAAACTTTCTCGAAACTCTAATTTTCCTTCTAATGTCGGAATGTAAATAGACGATCTAATCGTAAGTAGAAACAAAAGGAAGTGGCGCGTGAAAGGAGCATTGTAACCGAAAGGATCCGAGACAGAGCTCCAGTTAGACAATCTCTCATCGTGAATAGGATCACAGGAGGTGCTCACTGTGTCCTCACAATGACAGCATTATCTTTTGTCGCCAGCTGAATATGTCGGCTTAGATAGACCATTGTGTTTCCTCGCCGCTATTCTCTGTTATATAACTTTACGTATCGATATCTAAAATTAACATTAAATATATTTTTTGCCTTTGTAATGAGTTATAGAGACATCTATATGGTTTTATTGTTTCAGAGCTCTACACATGAAAGAACATCCAGATTATAAGTATCGTCCACGTCGAAAGCCAAAGCCGCTCATGAAGAAAGAACCGAAGTTCGGTTTTTCCATGTCCCCATTATTACCACCGACCATGGAAAATCATAATCTGCAACGAACCCTGATGACTCCAATATCAACATCATCAGGTGTGACATCCCTTTTGAATCCTGACTCGGACCATTTAAAATTATCGCGAAGTTTATTTCCGCCTTTGCCATACTTGTATCATCCTTTCCGGCATCCGGATGAATCCAAATTCGCAGCGGAACTGGCTCTGTTATATAGTAATAACCCATTGTACCCTCCGAATATTAATTGGCATATAAACAATATTGCCAGTCAGAATTTAAATGGTTCAAACCCGTGCAACATGTGTCCTCCGACATTTTCGCGAAGATCACCCAGTCCAGAGCAGCTAAAGCGACCAGTTTGCGTTATAATGAAAAACGAGGAGTTTCGAAATGAGCCCGCACATGTTATATGAAAACCACTTCCGGTTCTGCCGGATCGGCTGAACCATTGGTTTAGTGATATTGCCAGTTTGGCAACGAGTTCAAGTACTGTATCTTCTACAGCTACTTCCGCTATTAACTTGATGGAGTATAGAGATAATGGGGATTCTGGGAGAGATAGCAGTAGCCCCTGCAATCAGTAAACTCAAAAGTTTGTATTAAATTTTTAAATACATATATCTCCATTTTTCGATCAATTGAAACATTGATAACCAATTCTATGTTACAACCGTAAACAGCCAAAATAGCAGATTTCTTTCTTAAGTTTGCGTAGGGGTGATACAAACTTGATAATCAACGCAAACAATTCCAATGATGATGATTTCATCTAATTTAATTGAAAATGTTGTGCTCTCTAAACCTACATGGTTTTGCCAAAATATATCTTGCGCCAGAAAATCCTAAATATCTTTAAACAATCTTCATATATTGACAAAAACATCCACAAATCTTCATTGTTGAACATTTCTCAATTGATCAAGAAACTGAAATAACTCTCTCTGAGTTATTTCTCTGTTGTACTCTGTAATCTATGTACTGAGGTACTCGAGACCCGAGTAACAACTCTGTTCTGAGTGTCTAATACATAAGCATCTTTAATACTTCTATCTGGTTAAAAATCAATTTCCCAACTTTTACAATTAAAGTTCATTGGTAGAACTTATTATGAAACATGTAAATATTGTTAATTACGCTAAGTTAATGATAAAAATTTTGGTTATTTATATTAAATCAATCAAAGGCTATATACTAAAGAATTAGTGCAATTATCTGTTGATTTTGATTCGTTTTAGAACCGCAATTTTTGTAAAAACGTTTTTGTTTACTTCCTAAAAACATATTTGTTAATAAATATATTCAGTTCAAAGCGTCGTTTGGTATGTATTATCTTATTTCACAATAACCCATGAAATGTGCAATAATCATTTTGTTACATTTTAATTCTACAATCAAACCAAAAAATTATCATCAGCAAAGCCGGGAAAATTCACTTGAATTTGATGTGAAGAGGTAAGTGAGCATAAGAAATATGTAATTTTGTAATGATCTTACTAATTCCGCGGTATTTGAAGTAATTAATTTAAAATTATTTTGTTAAACCATAAACGTGCTTGAGCAAATCGTATTTATAGCACGAATATTTATGAGCAATACGTTCAATTCGAAACACTTCCCATAACTTTGAGCTTTTATTTTGTATTTCGAATTTAAATTAGGTCGGTCTCATCAACAAAATGTTTTTGTCATTTTCAACCTTTTGATTCATTCATAGGCGTCACATATATTGTGTGAATGTACACATATATATGTACAAAATCTAGTACCTAAAGACGGAAACTAGCTGGATGAATGGTGGATGTGTATTTCCAGAAAATGCTTCTATAGGGTGTTCGAATAAGAACGACGGTTTTGAATTGCGCGCTATTTGTAGTGCCAAAATTAGACATTAAACAAAGGCCGTTCGTTAGTAGACAGCATTAAGTTGAGTAAAATGGAGCGGTTCAATACACAACAACGAATTCTCATTGTGAAAAATTATTAGCAAAGTGGTGGAAGTTTTGGGGCCATAGTTCGCAAAATCCGTACAATTATGAGCCATCGGAAGACACCAATTATTGCCACTGTGAGAAAATTAATGGAAAAATTTTAGTAAACTGGGTTTGCTAATGAAGTGAAAACAGTAACACGTGTTCGTCCTGGTCGCTCGACTGAAAATATCGCTGCAGTACGTGCAAATGTTGAGGAAAGCTCAACCACATCAATTCGGCATAGAGCTCAGAAAATTAGGGTTTTCACAACCACTATGCATCGAATTTTAATAAGATTTGAAGCTTCATGAGTACAAAGTTGAATTTGCTCAAGAGCTAATGCCGGAATACCATTGTGGTATTAGTTAGTTATATTACACCTTTGTGATTGGATTTTGGAACAACGAGAATTGGACGGTGATTTTTCCACGAAAATCCTCTTTAGTGACGAGGCCCGTTTTCATCTTGATGGCTTCGTTAATCGACAAAAATGTCGCATTTGGGTTTCCGAAATCCACGAGCGATCATTCCGAATATCCACGAGTCACTGTTTGGTATGCATTGTGGGCTGGAGGCATCATCGGACCATTTTTATTCGAAAATGCAGTTGGTCAAGCATTAACCGTGAGTGCTGTTCGTTACCTTGAAATGTTAACTAACTTTTTTGTGCCGAAATTGCAAAATCTGGATCTCAACAGCATGTGGCTTCAACAAGACAGTGCCACATGCCATGCAGTCAGAGAAACTGTTGAATTACTGCACGAGTCATTTCCTGATCGCGTTATTTCTTGTTTTGAAGATCGGCATTGGCCGCCCAGATCA